AATGTAGCAGAATACATTTTGGCCTAAATTTATGAAGAACATTTATTTGCAAAATTTTATAACAACAATGAAGAAAAACTTTATTTTTTTCAAAATGTTTTAATTTATTTAGCAAAAAATGAAAAAACACAGTGGTGATCAAATACCACCAAAAGAAAGCTCTATTTGTGTGAACAAAATGATAAAAATGTAGTTTGGGTACAGTGTTGCATGACAGCGCAATAGTTATTCAAAGTACAACAGCGCTAAAAGCTGAAAATTGGCCTGGGCAGATAGGGGGTAAAAGTGCCTATTACTGAAGTGGTTAAACACCATGGCTAGCAGAGAAAATCAATCCTTTGTAGCTTCAATCAGAAAAACAATGGGACTTTTCTTTCATGGCCAACAGCAATTCTGGAAAATGCCCCATTTTGTAGGCAAATATAGAAACACCCTAAACATTATGTGGCTTGTTATTATATATTTATTTCACATGCTTCCTGGAACATGGATATGCAGTATGTAGTCCAACCACCTGGGTATCAACATTTGTATAGAAAAGGCTGTGAATATGAAGAGATGAGTTTACAACCTGCCATGTTTCTGCCCAATCATGCAGTGTGTGAGGCACTGTGCTAAGAATTAAAGGGGTTTCCCATTTGCGTATTTGTTATGTGAGATCATTCTGGTCCGGAAAGAGGCTTAACTTTCTGAATCAGCACTTTGCACCTTGGGGCATAAATCTGTTTACAATAGAGCACTGAGCACTTTCCATGGCACTTGGAGGATCCTAAGTGGATTTGGACATTCACCTATCATAACTTTTAAGATTATTTTTGACATTATTATTTATTTAATGGTATTTTGTACTGAATGTTCACTTTATTGCATTAGAATCTGTAAGCATGTAATATTTGGGATTTAAAGGGACAGTGCACTTTTTTCTATATATAGGTTAATATACAGTGCATCCAGAAAGTATTCGCGGCGCTTAACTTTTGCCATTTTGTTATGTTACAGCCTTATTCCAAAATGGATTAAATTAAATTTTTTTCCAAAACATTCTACAAACAATACCCCATAATGACAATGTGAAGGAAGTTTGTTTTGAAATCTTTGCAATTTATTAAAAATAAAAAACGAAAAACACCACATGTACATAAGTATTCACAACCTTTGCTCGTTACTTTGTTGAAGCACCTTTAGCACCAATTATAGCCTATTTTTGAGCAAATTCTCCAATTCTTCTTTGCAGAACCTCTCAAGCTCCATGAGGTTGGATGGGGAGCGTCGGTGCACAGCCATTTTCAGATCTCTCCAGAGAGAGAGTCTGGGTTCTGGCTGGGCCACTCCAGAGAGTCTGGGTTCTGGCTGGGCCACTCCAGGACTTTCACAGAGTTGGCCCATAGCCACACCTTTGTTATGTGGGCTGTGTGCTTAGGGTCGTTGTCCTGTTGAAAGATGAACTGTTGCCCCAGTCAAAGGTCCAGAGAGCTCTGAAACAGGTTTTCATCAAGGATGTATCTATACATTGCTGCATTCATCTTTCCTTCAATCCTCACTAACCTCCCAGTTCCTGAAGCTGAAAAACATCCCCACAACATGATGGTGCCACCACCGTGCTTCACTATAGGAATGGTATTGGCCAGGTGGTGAGTGGTGCCAGGTTTCCTCCAGACAAGAAGCTTGGCATTCAGGCCAAAGAGTTCAATCTTTGTTTCATCAGACCAGAGAGTTTTGTTTCTCATGGTCTGAGAGTCCCTCAGGTGCCTTTTGACAAACTCCAGGTGAGCTGCCATTTGCCTTTTACTGAGGAGTGGCTTCATATCATATCTATCATACAGGCCTGATTGGTGGAGTGCTGCAGAGATGGTTGTTCTTATGGAAGGTTCTCCTGTCTCCACAGAGAAACGCTGGAGCTCTTTCAGAGTGACCATCGGGGTTTGGTTACCTTCCTGGCTAAGGCCCTTCTCCCTTGATCACTCATTTTGGCCGGGTGACCCTCTCTAGGAAGATTCCTGGTGGTTCCAAACTTCTTCTATTTACAGATGATGGAGGCCACTGTCATCATTGGGACTGTCAAAATGTTTCTGTTCCCTTCCCCAGATCTGTGCCTTGATACAATCCTGTCTCAGAGGTCTACAGACAATTCCTTGGACTTCATGGCTTGGGTTGTGCTCTGACATGCACTGTTAACTGTGGGACCTTATATAGACAGGTTTATGCCTTTCCTAATCAAGTCCAATCAACTGAATTTGCCACAGCTGGACTCCAATCAAGTTGTGGAAACATCTCAAGGATGATCAGTGGGAACAGGATGCACCAGAGCTCAATTTTGAGTGTCATGGCAAAGGCTGTGAATACTTATGTACATGTGGTTTTTTTTGCGGTTTTTATTTTTAATAAATTGCAAATATTTAAAAACTTAAAAAAATTAATTTGATCCATTTTGGAATAAGGCTGTAACATAACAAAATGTGGCAAAAGTTAAGCGCTGTGAATACTTTCTGGATGCACTGTAAGTCCGGTATACAGGACTTTTTATGTGCAGCAGTCATTTATCTATTTAACTGAGTGCAAGGTTTCTTTATATATATTTTGGTTTCCTATTTAGACCGGGTCATAGAGAACCTCTTCAGCGGGAAGGTCATCCAGCGGTGAATTGATTAAATCAGGAGTGTTCAACCTTTTGACTTTCCTGGGCCACACTGGAAGAAGAGGAATTGTCTTGGGTCACATATAAAAGACATAAAAGACACTAACAATAAGGAAGGCTGATGAGCAGAAAAAGTAGGGCAGATCACAAGTTCATGATCACTGATATAGAAAATTTACCTATCTGAGTAATAAAACATCATTTTTGTAATATTTTTTTCTATAAAAGTAAAAGAGGACAGCATAAAACTAGTGGGATATTTGACACAGTTTCCGATAAACTAATGCATCAAAATCTGGATCGATGGCTGTAGTAGCAATTATCAAGGTGCTCACCAGATATTTTGGTTCTAATTTTGCCCTTCATCCTTGAAAATAGTTGCTCACAAGTATAAGTGCTGCTGAAAATGTATCACATGAATAAGGCGTGATTGTGAAGAGTGGGATATCTTTCTTTGGGAAGATAAAACTTTTTCTTTGAGCACACGTGTTCACTAAATGTAAACTAGGGTTCTACCGATATTGATACCGGTATTGGCATCAGTGCTGATACTAAGCATTTGCACGAGTATCTGTACTCCAATACTCCAATACCTGGAACTGTTACCTTCAGACTCGAGTTCTTTCAGCGGTCAGTGGCATTCCCCTGCTGACAGCTGAAATGTAAATTTAAAAAACACCCAGAAATTATAGGTTGTTAGGAAGCAGGGCCATCGCGTCCTTAACAACCGATGACTCATTCAGCTGTCAGCGGGGTTCCCCTGTTGACAGCTGAAGTGTAAACGAGTAATTGGAGCTGCCATAGAAAAAAAAAAAAAAAAAGCAGCCTGACAATGTTTATCAACAACATTGCTCAGCCTAAGGCTCCATGTACACTTGGCGTTTTAATAGCGTTGGTAACCTTAGCTGTGTAAAGTCACGTTAAAAACATGAGTTTTTCAGCATTTTTTTGTGCTTTTGCATTAACATTTAGCTGCAATTTTTTGCATTAGCGTCTTTTGGTGTTTTTCTTCCTTAAAATAAAGTCCAAAAATGCTGGTTTGCCGCGTTTTTTCAGCATTAGATCGTTTTTACAGCTAAAAAACTCCTCTACAGACCCACTAGTTCTGGGGGGTTTTTTAGCCAAAAAACACTGATTACGGTCTATATGCATGGACACATAGGATAACATGCTGGGGAGTTTACTGGCTGTAGAAAAACCGCCAAAAACAGTAGCTGTAAAAACATCCAGTGTGCATGAGAACTAAGACCCTGGTCGCACTGGGTGCGACTTGGCATGAGATTTGCAGGCCATGCAACTTGCAAATCGCATGCCAAGTCGCACCCTGTTGTCCGCAATTACAGCAGTCATATCGGTGTGGTTTCCAACTTGGTCGGAGCCGCACCGATTTCTAAAGTAGTACATACACTACTTTTGGTGCAATTTGCATAGATATCTGTGTCAGATGTCTTGCAAATAGCACCTGAAATTGTCATGTCTCACAACTTTGAAATCGTGTGACTTCACTGTAAGTCGCACGATTTCAAAGCCAGGCTTGATGTGACCGGGGTGTAAAAGAGAAAGCTAAAAAGAAACATTGTTATATTTTGTATCTTTCTGTTTATTCACCTACAGATCAAAGGGATGAAGATCTGTAGGAGAAGTTAGCGAAAAGCAACCTGTCAAGTAAAAAAAAAAGTCTGTTTTTAATAAAATATTCCTCTGTTTAACCCCTTAATTTACTCTACTCAGCCCTAATTAACGCTGTATTCTCCTCCATTTAATTATTATTTTCCTGCTGATTTTTTGTATTCATTTCTAGTTTATAAACTATTAATAATCAGGGATGTTGAATTTATATTGCCCGACGCCCGGGACATGTAGTTCCGGGCATCGGGCAGGTAGTTTTTTTTTTAACCTTTAGCCCTTCTGCGGGCTCACTGTCAGAGTAACGCTGCAGCCCGAATGCTTCCACCTGACAATTGCGCGTTCATACAACACTGCACCCAAATGAAATTTATGTCCTTTTTTCCCCACAAACAGAGCTTTCTTTCAGTGATATTTGATCCTCTCCGCATTTTTTATTTTTTGTGCTATAAACAAAAAAAAGACAATGACAAAAAAATATTTTTGACTATAAAACATATCCAGTAAAAATATTTAAAACATTAAATTTTGTAATGAATCTAGGCCAAAATGTATTCTGCTGCATGTCTTTGCAAAAAAAAAATACCAATACATGTAAATTAATTGGTTTATGTGAAAGTTACAGCGTCTACAAATGGCGGTATATATACTGGAATTTTTTTTTTATACTACTAATGGTGGTGAATCAGCGACTTATAGTGGGACTGCGGCGGGCATTCTGGCAATCGGTGGGAACTGACTAACTGCCACTGACATCCCAATGACACTAATACAGTGATCAGTGCTAATAAAAAGCACTGACACTGTACTAATGACACTGGGAAGGAAGAGGTTAACATCTGGGGGCAATCAAAGGGTTAACTGTGTGCTGTTTTACATCATGTGCTGTGTGTGTTTTAAACATGCTGCTGTGTATTTCTCTGCTGTTGGTTAAACACAGGTCTCTCCCCTGTCAGTTTCTCAGCAAGTGCCGGGTGCCAGCGGGGAATCTCCAGCAGGGACCCGGTGATCGACATCTGCAGCTGCAATGGTGGCGCAGGCAAGGTGACGCGTGCGCGCCCCCTACCCAGAAGTGCAAAATCATGTGCATATATATTTATATATACATATGTATGTGTGATTTTGCGCAGCCCTGCCACCCTGTAGCAGTATTTCTGCTATAGGGCGGCGGGGAAGCGGTTAATGGAATTAGATAGCCAAGTACAAGGTCACCCCAATTTAAAGAGGTGTAATGCTGCCATTTGGTTTTGATCTGTCTTTCACATCTGCGTTATTGTTCTGCCTCAAGCGAAGCCTGATTATCTCAGATTGTTTACTATTTTATACAGATATAATCAAGGCTGAGTACATTTGGGTTTAATAGCATTACATGGGATCTGTCTCTTCTGAGTTTCAGCGATAAATATACCATTTTCTGAACTGCATTCATCCACTATATGTAAATAGGTGATTTTTTTTTAAATTGTATTTTATATTAAATGCCAAGACAGGAAAAGAGTGGGATGCTCTCCTGATTTGGACAGTAAGCACCTCTTCCTCTCTCCATCTCCATTACATTGGTGGAGGAGATTTTTAGTCTGCAGTAGATAGTTTAAAAGGATAAGTAGTCTGTGATTTTAATTCAATTCACAGAAAGTTACAAAGACAATGCATTTCTGGTATTTTCTGTACTTGCTGAAAATACTCTTTGCCTGAAAAATAAAAACGAATGCAGCCACCACCTTTATGGACTGGTAAGGTGTAATATGTTAAATGTTTATTCTTGTGTTTGGTTATATCCTTCAATTACAAAGCATATTTTCTGTTTTACCAACCCCCGTGTCCACCCCACTTAATTGCCTCCAAACTTTGGACCCTTTTTTTATTTAGCATCATGTGGTCGTTAACAATATTTTTCAGATTCTTTTCACACTGCGATGTTTATAGCACAGATTAAGCCTGGAACACAGTCTCTAAGGCTACTTTCACAGTACTCTGTATGAAAATCACATAAAAATTGCATATGCATTTTTCCCAAGTTGCATTAAATTTAATGCAATACATTTTGCATTTTTACCATGTTTGCATTGGGGTATCCTCGTATCACTTCCCTCTGTGTTAATGTGATTCTCATGTGATTTCCAATGTGACTATTAATGCAACTTCAATGCGACTTTAGAAGTTCTCAAGCCCAGGTTCACAGAATTGCATGACAAGGGAAATCACATTACAATCCAACTTTGGTGTGATTCCAGCCCCATAGACTTCTATGTTATCTCACAGAAGTCACATCAGCATAGATAAGAAGAATTCCTATACAACTTTTATGGTTCAGTGTTTTTTTTTGTTTTTTTTTTTACCCTCACCTCGCCTCCCTGGTCATCTTTGCTGCTTAAAGGCTAGGTTTACACTGAAGCAATTTGATCGTTTGTTCATTCGATCCTTCCTTTTATAGATCATTTGATTGAAGTAAGGATCGATCAATCCAATGTAAGGGTCGACTGACTTAAGGATCGACCGATCAAGCGATTGATTTAGGGAATGGTTGATCGATTGAAGGAAAGCTCTATCAAATGAAGGGTCAATTGATCAAAGGAAGGGTTTATCGGACGAGGGAAGGATCGGCCGCTTGATCAAAGGAAGGATTGAAGGAAGGCTCCAAAATCGCAGCTGTATCAAAATCGATGAAAAATGACAGGGAGAAGAGATGAGGGTTAAAAGAAAACACAGAATCCATCAAAGTTGTATAGGAACGCTTCTTATCTATGCTGATTTCTGTGAGATAACATAGCAGTCTATGGGGCTGAAATTGCACTGAAATCCGCCAGGAACCTTTTCCAAAATCTCACTGTGCTGAGTTGATTAGAACAGAACTGTTGAATATAATGTGATTTCCCTTGTCATGAGATTCCATGAACCTGGGCGTTGCATTTTTTTATGCATTTTTCATGCAGAATGCAGTTTCTATTCATTTCAATGGAGGGATGTGTTTTTGGTTTGTATTTTTAGCGGACTAAACATGCACCAAAAATGCAGCAAGCAGGATTTTTTAACCACAACTGAAGCACAACAGACAGAAGTGAAAAGCTACACGGAATTTAAAGAGATGCAGTTTTCTTCTGCTTTCTGCCGCTTTTTCTACCTGAACAAAAACAGATCAGTGTTAAAGATAGATCTAATCAGTTTTCTAGTAGATTCAGAAGAATTTCAGAGAATGGCCTAAGAAGGCTAGGAGCCAGGCTGCTGCTATACTGGTAATTCTGCACTCAAAGCATATATATTGTCAGAATGAAAACGCATATATTCATTTTCACATTGTATTTCAATCATTTCTAGCCTACTTCTATTAATCGGAATGATCATGAAGTCTGTAAACTTACTTTATTATTAATATTATACAGGATTTATATTGCGCCAACAGTTTGCTCAGCACTTTACGATATAACGGGATTTGAGGGCCCTGCTCCTTGGAGCTTACAATCTAGGAGGGAAGGGCTAGTGGTACAAAAGGTAGTAACTGTGGGGGATGGACTGGTTGGAAGAGTAGAAGATTCCAGTATTAGCTGAGGGCAGGATAGGCTTCCCTGAAGAGATAGGTTTTCAGAGATCGCCTAAAAGTGAGCAGAGTAGGCGATAGTCTGATAAATTGGGGAAGAGAGTTCCAGAGGATGGGGGAAACTCTGGAGAAGTCCTGGAGATGAGCATGGGAGGAGGAGACAAGGGAGCTAGAGAGTAGGAGGTCTTGCAAGGAGCAGAGAGTACGGTTTGGGTGATATTTGGAGACAAGATTGGTGATGTAATTTGGGGCAGAGTTATAAATGGTTTTATACGTTATTGTTAGTGTTTTGAATTTTATCTATTGGACAATGGGAAGCAGTGGAGGGATTGGCAGAGAGGGGTGGCCGATACAGAACGGTTTGTAAGGTGGATGAGTCTGGCAGCAGCATTCATGATAGACTGAAGAGGGGATAGCCTGCGATGAGGTAGGCCAATGAGGAGGGAGTTACAACAGTCAAGGTGACATATAGAAAGGGAGTGATGTTCCCCACTCACTCACTTCCTTCAGTTCTTTAACATGGCCATGGAGGTCAAAAGGGGACCAGCGTTCAATCAGACAGCTGCTCCCAGGTGACCATAAAAAAATCAGAGAGGAACTTTTCACACCTATGCAGGCTGCATTTGAGCAGCAAAAACGCAATACTTGCTTTTCTGACGTGTTTCCATTGAAGTCTATAGAGCCCTGACCCTTCCAAAAAAAACGCACCAGGTTAAAACACTCAGATGTGAAAACGTCTCAAATAGGAAATCATGTTAAATGGACTGCAGAAAACGCTTAGGTGTGAACCTAGGGTAAGGCTTGATTCACACCAATGCGTTTTTAGTGTATTTTACAGAAATGCACTACCGTCCATTTAACATGGTTTCCTATGAGACTTGTTCACATCTATGTGTTTTTCAGCCAATACATTTCTAGAAAGGGTCAGGTACTTTTTAAACACAATACGGTGTGTTTTGGCTCAATAGACTTCAAATGACACACGGCAGAAATGCATGTAGTGTGTTTTTGGTGTGTTTTGTGGGTTTTTTTGCCAATAGGAAAGTATTGATTTTGTTGCCACTTTCATGCAACTTTGAATGGGTGGGACTTTGATGTGACTTTTTTCTTTTTTTTTGCTAGTAGGAAAGTATGACAGTTTTGTTTATGGAGTGTGACTCTGATGCAAATTTGATGCACCTTTACACTCTCTGGCACTCAAGTGGAATCAAAGTCGCACCCAACCAAAGTTGCATCCAAGTCGCACCCATCCAAAATCACATCCATTCAAAGTTACATCCAAGTCATGTATATAAGATCAAACCAGGCAAATCCCCAATCAACTGAAGTCACAAAGCTGCAAGTATATAAGAGGATATCGTCTCTTAAAAGGCTAATTAAAAATGGATACTGCGCTAGGTGAACCCTTAAAACTTTATGAGCATTATGGAGACCTTCACACCTCTGAAGGGTGATCAAATGTTGAAAAAAATTGATTGAATAAACTGAGTACAGTAATCATAAATACGTGTAAGAAACCGTGATATGTAGTCAAATTAACCTAAAATATGCATTATCTATGAGCCCTATGAAGACCCTCACACCTCTGAGATTTGACCTATCCTCAACCTCGATCATTCTTCAATGTGCAAAAAATTCAACTCAAATATACATAAAGGTTAGTACAAAAATTTCAAAAACAAAAAAACAATAACAAAAAGTCCACAATCGCTGGTATTATTGTAGACAATGCTGCAAGTGCAATGTAGATAAATTTGCTTCAACTGGTCACCAGAGTGCACACCACCACCAAAGGGAATGGAGGCTTACCAGAAATGGAGACCCCTTAATAAGGAATGGAGGCTTACCAGAAATGGAGACCCCTTAATTACAGGGGGTCCCAACCAGCTTTATAATGTAGAGCACTGGCAGGCTTCCAGTATCACACCCCAAAACATGGAACTTCCCAGACTCCAACTTGAATGTAAACTGAAAGTGTAGTGCCAGACAAGGTCATGGAAGAAAAAAAACATGCCTCTCATAGTGCAATATGTATCAAAAACGTCTTTATTTGCACAAATAGGATCCTACTTACAAGCTGTAGAACAATTAAAATTATTTACATGAACCATACCCAATATGGCTGACAGCACGATGATGTCAGAGGGAGGCTCCGCCCGACATGTTTCATCATCAAAAGACATCCTCTAGGGGCTACCTACATTCAAGTCATACCCTTCCAAAGTCGCTTCCAAGTTGCACCCATTAAAAGTCAGATCAAAGTCACATCCAAGCCACACCCATCCAAAGTCGCATCCAAGTCACACCCATCCCATCCAAAGTCACCTTAAAGTCACACATCCAAGTCACACC